TACCTTCAGGTCCGCCCATTCTGCCAAGGTCGATGCACTACCCAGACATCTATCCAATTGCTCTAGTATATGCTCCCCACCTGCCCGTCGATTCGACCATGTGAACGGCGACCCCTGAAAACCTAAGTCAATAAGTCCAGTAGACAGAATAAAAGCATTAAGTTGATCTAGAGCAGCAAAGGATGGTACATTCCCCCCCAACTTTTCAGATGCAGACAGAATGCAATTAAAATCCCCAACTACAAATGAGGGAAAGGAGACAGACGAGACCAAAGAGACTAATTCATTAAACTGAGATTGGCGCTCCGCAGCCACACACGACATATGTACAAAGATAATTCCAAGGGTTCCGACAGCCGGAACGACACACTCTACAAAACAATGAAACGAGGACATCTGGTGCACTGTACAGGAAACCTGATCAACCCACCCTACAGCTAAACCTCCACTACCATTATTTGCACTAAAACAGCGAACTGATCTGTACCCCAAACTAGCAAGCTTAAATTTGACAAATTCATCATCCCTTTTGGTCTCACTGAGAAAGACGAGGCTTGGAACGAAACGTGCAACGGCTCCACCGAGAGAGGGAACTGTCAGAGGGGAGCCCATCCCCCGACAATTCCACACCATAAAACTCATGGGTCAAGGTGGGCCCAGTTGAGGCTGGATGCCACCGCCTTACCATCAGGAGGGGAAATTGAATCAGAAACCTGCTGAACTGAACGAGCTCGCTTGGCCATAGGGGAAATCGAAATGTGAACAGCACCATCTTGCACAGGGGTGTCATCAGCTACTGGTGTTGTTGCCGCATCCCTAGGCGCCGCAGTCGACGGGAAAATCGACAGAGCTTGGAAGTTGGCCCCCATGAAGCTCGAGGGAGGCCGCCGGGTATCACGCCATTCACCATCAGCATCGCCCACCTGAGACACTTGCAGTTGGGGCAGAGGATGGCGGGGAGGAGGTTCCCTGAAACTGCCGCCGGTCTTGGAGGCCGCTGAGCGAGTCTTGGCCGCCCGAATCCACGTGAACCGCCGATGCCTCCTCAAGAGAGTGTCCTCCGTGACTGGTGGTCCCGATTCGGTGGCCACCGAAAACACTCCATATTTCGGTGTAACACCAGCAAAGGCTTCCTTGCGGGGGCAGCTCTCCCCAATGTGCCCGATCACACCACAAAGAAAGCAGAAGTGAGGGACCTTTTCAAACTTAACGGAGGCAACAAAATTACCTCGTGTCGGATCAACGTGCCCAGCAGAAATCGCATCTGGAAGGGGGGCAGTAAGATCAAGAACTGGAGCAGCCCTAACATAGAGCCCACCCGAGGCATCGGATCGATGGAGCGTGGGCGGGTCATTAAGCACCCCCAAGGAAGAGCCCAACCGCCATGCAATCTTCTCCGTGAAGCAATCGAACGGCACCTTCCAGATCTGAACCGCCAACGGTGCCCAGCGAAGGCTATCCGCCACTTCAGGGGAGGGATTCACCCACCGCGCCAGCACCATTATGAAGTTGTCGAAGATCCAAGGCGATTTGTTAACCGCCCTATGCAAATCGGCCTTCTCCGAAAATAGGAATTGGGTCAGACCCTCGTCCACGCAGGCGATGCTGAGATCCCCTTTGTAGCGCCACACCCGACCCAGCATCATTCGCAGAGCATAAAGCGGTGGCGGCGACCCGATCAAACGCCCGATTAGCGACAACTCCCCCCGAGCAATTCCGGCAGCCAGATCGTCGTCATTGAACTGCACCACAGCCATTGTCAACAGATTACGAACAAAGAAGGAACAATGCGTGAGAGAGTGAACAGATGCGATTTGCACCCTCCCAACCCCCCGAGAACGGGGATTTATAGCCATCTTGCTCCGGGGAGCCAGGCCCCGTCGCCGCACGACGGCGGAAAGCCCGATGGGCACTAGCGCACAATGGCGGTTACCGACCCACTTCTCCGAAATGAGAGAACACGATCGCGAGAGGATTTTTTTTTTTTTTTTTTAGGCGGTGGTTCCCAAATCCTGTCTACCTCTTTCTCTCTTGTTTACCTTCCCATATACTCCAACACCCACCTTCCCATTTCTTCATCTCCTCTACATAAATTCCTTCTTCCCCTGCTTCTCTTTTTCCCCCCTTCTCTCTCAGACTTTTCGTCGAACAGTTAACAGACAAACGAGTCAGGAACTTTGTGTAAACCTGCTAAGAAAATAAGATGGTTAAATCACGTTTTAATCCTTAATTATCAAAGACGGAAGGATCTTAAATATAATCTTTCAATAATACGGCGAACGGAAAATGCGGTAGTTGAATGATAAGAAATATGACCTAATGAAGTTAAAAAATTGGCTGCAATATTGGCCTCTCTTTGGGTTTATTCCAAACGAACGTCCTAGTTGACACAAAAGCGTCACGAGGCTTCAATGTGTTGCTTTGCTATGGTAGCATCTGTATACAAGCGAACTTTCTGGATCACGAGTTCCTAGATGATCCTACGGCCATGCACAATACCATTAAGCTTTGCACGCTTAATAGAAGCCCCCAAGATTCATTGTAAAAGGTTTTATGAAATGATCATTGTCTCCCCTCATAATGTTGCAAGCTCCGAGAAGTCATTAATGTGCTTCCCCACCTCCAAACAATGATCTCTCATTCTCAAAGTTAGTCGTTTCGTTTGGTTTAAAACAGAATTTGTTTCTCTGTCATAAATGATTTGGTCCCAATAGTTCGAGTTGTTAGGAGAACATTATGTTGTATCTTATATCACTCTCCAACATTCTCGCCTTAAAACAAATGACTATTTCGATTCTTCCACATTAGCCATCAAGAGCCTCGTACTGATCCTTGGGTATAGCTCAAGACTCAAGTACTTTAGTTCATTCTATAGTTTAGATCTCTAATGTAATACTAAGGTTTGAGCAACTTGATTGTGTGATTGATGGGATTTCTTTAGGGGTGGTCGTTCGGTTACCGGTTAACCGGTCGGTTAAACCGATAACCGGCCATACTTTAGTTCATTCTATACTTTAGATCTCTAATGTAATACTCAGGTTTGAGCAACTTGATTGTGTGATTGATGGGATTTCTTTAGGGGTGGTCGTTCGGTTACCGGTTAACTGGTTGGTTAAACCGATAACCGGCCGGTTATCCGGTAACTGAAGTAACCGAACTTCGGTCGGTTATCGGAGGCTTATTAAAGGTGGTTCGGTTAACCGGTAACCGAGAAACCGAAGCCTATTTCACTCGGTTTTCGGTAGAGGGGGTGGGTATTTCGGTTAACCGATAACCGGCGGTTATAACCGAACTGCCACCCCTAGATTTCTTAATACGCTACGTATTGTCATTATTATATAATTTATCCTTAGGGTTAATATACGTTCACTGGTTCTCATTGTTGTGTTCGTTTTAGCCATGAACATCGCCTGGTCTCATGAGTGCTTAGAGAACTGGCCATCTATTATTCTCCTTGAAGCGGCTCCACTTCACACTCACATAGGTGATTTCTAAATATGTATTCCGAAAATACACTATTTGATCACATCCCGGGTCAAACTTAGAAACCATTAAAAACCTTCCATCTTTAGGTTTACCCTTATAGTTGGACATTGTCTCATCATGAGAATGGAATTTGAATAATTTGACAATGTCGGACCATCATTCACAACTTTATTTGCTCCTGGAACCTAGAGGTTGGGTCTGCCAATCCTGCTTAGGTAGAGTTACCGCCATGATGATTTGATCCTCCTGCGGCAGGACAAAATGTTGGTAAGCAAGTGAGGAATGGACCCAAATGGGGTACAGGACAACTTGGAGGGAAGAAAGCCACAGTCTTTCGTTATTCGATCCTATGTGAGATAGTTGGATTTTCCAAAATCAGCTGGGTTTCCTACCTTGCCCCTTCTTCCTGTTGTGATGTAATTGCGCCAGTCATAGGATGGTCTGCCATGTGGTATTTCACCGTATATTGTTTTTAACTTGGATGAAGTTGAGTTGCTAAATAACTTAGATTAGATGCTAAATGGTGTCTCGGTTCAGGATAAAGGTCATAGTATTTGTGATTGAGTCTGTTGCGCAAGCTGTAATTTGCATTTTAAGGCCAAAGTTGTTTTCTTGCTGCTCATTTCTTTGTTACTGTTGTGCTTAGTGTTGGAAGTTAAATGCTATACCATGTGAGTGGAAACTTGGTTGTCACTCCTGTGATCAAGGGATTCACGGGGTCCAAACTCCTCCATTTTTAGTCTCCCCATATATCCCGGTCATTGTATTCCAGTTTTGATGTGTTCCCATTCTCTCTCTATGTTCCATCATTTGCTAACTATATTGGATAAGAGAGATTTCAGTTAAACAAATATAATTTCTCAAAGCTACATTTTTTGGGTTCTCCTCTGCTCTATCTCTATCAATTCTCATCTGTGGTTGTACTTAACTTAGTTTCTTTTATGAAACCAGTAATAATGCTCCGGAATGAATAGTTGCGGTAGATCTTATGTTTAGGTATACAAGGAGTTGTCTTCATGAGATTCTGGTACAACCATCTGCCTGTACAAGATTGATACATTTCAATGTGAAGTTAGGTAGTTTTAAAGTTCTTTGTCGCAATTTTGTTCCCAGTAATGCTTTCTAATAGTTGCATAAACCATCAATAGTGTTCTTTTGCCTCCAAGGGTTACAGTAGGCTTTATTGTGACAAATATAATAAAAATGACTAAGGCATTAAAGAGAACCACCCATTTCTATTGTTCCACTGTAGTTTTTTTATCATTGCTTATTTGAAAGTGGAGAAGGTAGCTTGATTAATTTGAATGCTCCTATCTAAAGCAAGATATATAAGCTCGCATTTTGGTTTGCGATCATATTGCAATGTCAATTATCATCAATTTGTTATATTTTCCTATGCCTTTTGATGCTCTAAAACACAACACCTAACAATGGCCAAGTGTAACCAATGAAAGGGACTGCAGTATAGTGGCACAAGTAATAAATATCGAATCCACGGGTCTCTAGAGTTACTATTACTCAGCTTCAGTTCATTATCTAGCAAACTAGATTAAGGATTGATTAACTAAACTACTCTACTAACTAAACTAAGTAAAACTACTAATTACAGTTTGGGAACTCACTTAGGTATGATTCTCCCTAGCTCCTCAATTAGGTCCAAGTTGTAATTCCTTTTGGTTGATTTACTGTTGATTAAACTGCGGAAGATCCGACAGTAGCTTGGAATCTCTTAAGCTGAACAAGCCCTCTCAGTCTAACTATCCGGCAGACGACTAGTCTTCACCGGGATAGAAAGCTGAAGCAATAAGCACAGAACTCCACTACTGGAATTGGATTCCAGTACAAAGCAGTAAACTGGCTAACTCTCGTATAGCCAATCTCCTACTACCGAATGATGAGACTCTAGCAACCTAATCAGATTCTATCTATCTCAGATTGCAGCAGGAATCAGGAAAAGTTGATCAGACTTCAATCGACTCAATAAACATGCATCATTCGATTATAATCAAACAATATAGCATCCAAAACTTCATACAAGAAAGATCCTAACTCATGGAACTAAGGTTCCTCAAAACCTAAGTGAAGGGAAGTTACTCCATAGAGAAGAGAGAGACTGCAGAAATCTGATCTAGATCTTCAATCTCCATCTCCAAGCTTGATTCCCGAGCTCCAATGGCGAAGAAATCCTCCAAAATAGCTCCAAGAATGTTCCCAAGTCGCTCTCTCTCTCTAGGGTTCGTCCCTTGGGTGTTTGGGATCCAAAACCCAGCTCTCCCCCTTTCCTTTTGCTGAAAATCGGGTTTTAAACAGCAATTCCCGACTCACACGGCTAGGCCACATGGCCGTGTGGCTTTCCCATCTGCCCGTGTGAAGTCTCGGTGATTTCCACACGGCCACATGGCCAGGTCACACGGCCGTGTGGGTTGTGCCCGTGTGGCTTGCTCAGCCTCTGTTTAATGCTTCGTTTCTCCCTCGTCTGGACTCCGAATCAGTCGCCGTTTGATCCCAGACGCTTGTAGTCTCGTCCTCTTTCTTTTCATGACAAGCTTGCATGATTCTTTGTCCATAAAGTGAGGTAGAAATCCATTCTTCTTCAGGTCATACCCGAGTTTCTTCTCCCGAATCGTCAATTGATCTCTGATTGACTTGAAACTTGCGCCTATGCTTCACTTTATGTGCTAGGACCTGAAATGTGACAAAGGAACACAACCTAGCGTAAAATAGGCCAAAGACACGATAATTCAAGCTCAAACAATCAAGAAACAAAGGGGAAAACATGTGCAAATACCGAGTCATCAAATCCCCCACACTTAACTGTTTGCTTGTCCGCAAGCAAACCTAACTCAAACCAATGCAGCTTGATACGCCCCTGGGGGGTGTATGTTTATCAAAGTCACGCAGCTAACGACTCAATCGAAGAATCGATTGAGCTCGAATCAAGAACGAAGCGTTCTTAATACGAACTTGGATAAAACGGAACCAAAAGGACAAATCCACACCTGGGGATAGCTCGATTGGTATAAAAGGGTAGTTGCTCGACCACGATTGAAGTGACTATTCAATCGATACACAAGCTCAGCAAGTTTGGAATCCACCAAACCCAAAACAAGTCGCAACTTGCACAAACCAAACGGTTTCTTTTCTATTCAATCAACTCTGAATTTTACAACGAAATAGAACGCTATTTAAAGGCAAATAAAACCTAATACAATCATAGTATAACTAGGAAACAGTTAAGGTAAAATTCTACACTAAAAAGGACACAAAATTCGGGTTTAAACTTCCTTTCTTGAAGCACAAGTAAGCTGCCAGCAAACAGTCAAAAAGCAGCTTTTGTACTAACTTCACACCTTTCGTACGAGGCCTTCTAGAACTCCGATCTTTTATCCGATTCCTTCCCTTGGTAGATAAACATTCCTAGTTTCATGTTGTAGAAGCCTTTGGTCTCGAATCAGATCCATGCTCCTTGAATTGAGCTCCAAAGTAGGCTTCACAAAACAGTTTTCTGCCTTAGCCATTTTCTGGCAGTTTTCCAGTTTTGAGGTAGCAACTTTGAGGTCTTGGAAAACAATCTTAATGACATCATCTGGCTTCACAAAGCATATCATTGAAAACATGGAAACTTTATCTACAATAAAAACCCTTGAAATGGAACTTCCACCCAGCCAATTGAGATAACCATGCCTCCAAAGTATGTACCCTGAACACGGATTTTGACTTAGCCAAATTCTGCCTTTCTTCTTTCCAACCTTGATAGCTTCTTTGGAAAGTAATTGTGACTTGTAGAAGTGGCCAATTTGGATCATATCAGGCTCCCCCTCTTCAAAAAGCTTTGACCTCAAAGCTTGATCTTTCCTTTTGTCAAAATCATCACAGAATCGATCCCAAATTGGATCGAAAGTAGGCTGCTCAAACATGTTCTTCGACGCAAAAATTTCATCTTCCCTGCACATCTTGTCTAATTCGATGGCGCCTTTCTCTACTATCACAGCCTTCCCTTCATCTCCTAGCAATTTCTGACCAGTATCAGCATCAATCATCAACGAACAGTGAGCTAGCAATTTCCCAGGACAGCTCAAATTCGCGACGAACATCGTCCGTTGCTCTGAATCCGAGTTCGGAATATCCAAGCTGCCATTCTTCAATTCAATTCTCGAGGAAGCTTTCTCCAACAGAGAATTGAATTCCCCGTCCGATTTCTCACTTCGAATACCCATGGTAAGTGAGGAATCATCATCTGCAGTTTTCCCGGTGTCGTCGCTTTCAAATTCCTGCGTATCGAGAAACCCAGAATCAAATTTGGGCATTTTTGATTCTCCGCCGTTTTGGTCGATCTCTGGATCCCCACACATTCCTTGGACCTCCAGAAACTTGTCCATGGTTTCGGTTCTGCTCGGTTCGCCCTCAATTGCTCCAACGAGGTACTCGTGTTTGGAGCTCAATTCCGGCAATTGCAGAGGCAATTTTCCCAACTTATGAACTTGTATTTGAAGCTGATTGGCGTCGATTGTGGTTAGGGAATTCATTACTGGGAGTTTTTCGAGCATATTGGTGGAGTCTTCTTTGCTCGACTCATTACCCAGCTCTCCACCCGCTTCTCCCTCTCTCCTACTCTGTTTTCTCGAGGAAGAACAGAGGCGTCGCACGCCGGCGCTGTTTGCTCCCAAAACCTCACAGCTTGACAGCTCCGACGCCGGTGACTCATTCGGGTTTGCTTCTTCTTCATTGACGACCAATTCCGAGGCAGAATTCGATGGTTTCTGGATGTCCAATCGATCCTTTGGCCGAGAGAAATCTGCACTCTGTTTTCGCGGAATAATACTGAGACGTTTATCGATGGCAGACTTGAGCTTGTCGATCCCACGTTGTACCCGATCAAATTGGGGCTGTAATGCCGCTTTGAACGCTTCTATAACCACATGCTTAAACTCTTCCATGTCTATTTGCTGAGTCCCCATCGTCTGCTCTTCAATTGGAATTCGAATTACAACACTCTGCTGCTCCTCTGTTTTGTGTGTTCTGAATTCGTACGAGAACACAACCCTCTCGTTTCTTCCTTGGCCCTGTGTTGAACGAGGCTCTGATACCACTTGATACGCCCCTGGGGGGTGTATGTTTATCAAAGTCACGCAGCTAACGACTCAATCGAAGAATCGATTGAGCTCGAATCAAGAACGAAGCATTCTTAATACGAACTTGGATAAAACGGAACCAAAAGGACAAATCCACACCTGGGGATAGCTCGATTGGTATAAAAGGGTAGTTGCTCGACCACGATTGAAGTGACTATTCAATCGATACACAAGCTCAGCAAGTTTGGAATCCACCAAACCCAAAACAAGTCGCAACTTGCACAAACCAAACGGTTTCTTTTCTATTCAATCAACTCTGAATTTTACAACGAAATAGAACTCTATTTAAAGGCAAATAAAACCTAATACAATCATAGTATAACTAGGAAACAATTAAGGTAAAATTCTACACTAAAAAGGACACAAAATTCGGGTTTAAACTTCCTTTCTTGAAGCACAAGTAAGCTGCCAGCAAACAGTCAAAAAGCAGCTTTCGTACTAACTTCACACCTTTCGTACAAGGCCTTCTAGAACTCCGATCTTTCATCAGATTCCTTCCCTTGGTAGATAAACATTCCTAGTTTCATGTTGTAGAAGCCTTTGGTCTCGAATCAGATCCATGCTCCTTGAATTGAGCTCCAAAGTAGGCTTCACAAAACAGTTTTCTGCCTTAGCCATTTTCGGGCAGTTTTCCAGTTTTGAGGTAGCAACTTTGAGGTCTTGGAAAACAATCTTAATGACATCATCTGGCTTCACAAAGCATATCATTGGAAAAATTGAAACTTTATCTACAATAAAAACCCTTGAACTGGAACTTCCACCAAGCCAATTGAGAGAACCATGCCTCCAAAGTATGTACCCTGAACACGGATTTTGACTTAGCCAAATTCTGCCTTTCTTCTTTCCAACCTTGATAGCTTCTTTGGAAAGTAATTGTGACTTGTAGAAGTGGCCAATTTGGATCATATCACAGCTCTCCAGAGCTCTATAGCAACATACAACCCCGATCGTCGGTAGAGGATTTCCTAGATCATATAGCAGCTTACGAGGTCAACTGGTCTTCTAAGACGTTCCCTATCTCTCTCAATGCGAGTACTAGACTCAAGCCAGGATCATGAGAAAAAGTAGAAGTAAGACAGTCAGTTCATGGATAAAGGGACTCACACCATTCACAACCAAGGATTCATTGTACCGGGGTGCTCTTTCACTTCATTTCACCGTTGGAACCCCTTTTTCTCACTTTCATTTACATTTTTTCTTTCATTTGGTGGGGTTCCAACTGCAGTCTTTTGCACGGTCGACCCTTATTAGTCGAGCAAGAGCAATTTCTGTACATCTGGAACTCGCCAGAGTACTTCTTTTAACTCCTTTTCCTCAACTCGTGTGGAGGGTCAATGAAATTAAGGGGGGTCGGAAGCTCTATCCGTGCCCTTAAAAACACATCCTCAAGTAGGCAAACCGTTCAACGGGTGGAAGTTTTACTTGTACTAGAGACAACTTAGCTTCACCTTGTAGGAGTACCCCACTAAGGATCACTAAAATCTCTTCCAAAACCCGATTTTGTGCAATGAACGGTGCCGCACACGTTGGGCTTACCCCATGTTTAAGATTTAATGATTTTGACATGGAGGACCAACTGCTTCCCATTTTCCATATGAGCACCCTGTTCGATACACGAGTCCATAACATAATCCAAACAGAGTCACCATTACCACATGAATTCAACGGTCTTAGCTCCACTAATTCACAAAATCAACTGGCACAACAGAGAGCTAGATAGGAAAAATCTTATACTTCAACATCCTCCATAGTGCTACACTACCTCCCTAGGTTGAACATTACTATAGAGACTGTCAATTCAAAGCATACTGAGCAGGCAATTTGCAAGGAAACACGTACTTGGAGCCCTCAAATTTAAAATTTTGGACAGTGGACTAGGCTCCAAGCACACAAACAGCCAAACATTCACCCGCATACATAATCGAACACCCCCCCCCCCACACTTAAGCACGACATTGTCCTCAATGGAGGAAAGATAAGGAGGGTAGAACGAAGTTACCAGATCAAGGGTGAATGATGATGTACGGGTCAGGCAGTGCATTCCAGGAAGAGAGAGTAATCAGAACACAAACACCACACAAAATCTCACAAAGGTTGAGTTATTGACTCTAAAATCAAATAACAAAACTGACTCAACCGAGGAGAAATAGAGAAAGAAATGCAAACCGACTGGTTGGGTTGCCTCCCAACAAGCGCTTCTTTCACGTCGTGAGCCGGACGATGGCTCCTAAGTTTCGGTCCATGCTAGAACCTCCTTGAAGTTGAGGTTCTCGTCGATGAGGTGGAGTCTCAAGTCACGAGCATGTGGTGTGGCAGGTGATGAAGGCTCATGTACTTGATGCAGATGAAGTCTCCACCCTCGAGACCTCTTCTTCTCTTCTCTCGTCTCATTGCCCCAAACCAGATATGACAGCATCGACCGACCACCATCGCGTCCACCAAGAGGGACCGATGTCGATGTGGCCTTGGTCTGGCAAAGAGACACTGCAAATGGGTCCTTGCCAAGCAGTTCCTCAAAGTTTGGTGGGATATTACTTGCAACTCATGGCCGGTGCATGCCTCTTCCACCTCAACTTCATCCTCAGCCTGGACGCCAATTGCTTCCTCAACCCCCCTTCCTTCTTCAAAATGTGGTCTCTCCCCTAGGAAAAGATCAAGAACCACCTCTTCTTTTCTTTCTTCCTCATCATCCACAACTTCCTTCCTCATCCTTGCTCGCTCTTCTTCTTCTAGAACAGATTGGAGAGCAAGTCGCCAAGCAATTTCTTCAATGGGATCATCTTGTATCTCCTCGCACGGGCCCAGCATGTTAGAGCATAAATGAGGAAAGGTGTGGTCTGCAACCAAAGGACTTTCCTTATCATGGTTATCATGGGAGTTCTCTGTGATAACTTCTATATGCTCCTCAACGCTCCCATAGCCTTTGTCATCCTCCACCTCTTCTAGCGTGGTAGCAGAAATGTGATCTTGAGCAAGATGTGAGCAAACTTGCTTCACCCACTCTGTTTGCTTCGCTGAGCGCTGAACAGTCTCCTCCATATCATGGAGAAATGAGGGATCGGAAGTGGCAAGGGCTTTGATTTGAAGATCCATCTTGGAGCATGATTTCTCAGTGTCTCGAGCAAACTGCTCCACGAGAAGCCTTAATTGTTCGTTCGGATCCTCCAGTGAAGTGTAGCATGGCTCTGCAGAGTGGCCCGTGAAGGCTGCCATGGGTAACTCCAGCTCCGATGGCCCTTCTAGTTGTGGGAGAAAGTCTTATTGGTAATGAGGTTGTTCTTGATATGCCCAGGGGTCTGATTGTTCTCCGTAGTAAGGGGGTTGGTACTGGAACCCGAATCCATAGTCTTCTCCTCCTTGATTGCTGTAGGGAGTCGCGGGGTAATACCACCCGGATGGTGGTGGATACCCCCAATGATTGGAGAAGCCATTAGGATCCATGATTCAGATCTGCACCAACAAAAACAAAAACACTCAAGTGAAAAGCAAGGGTGGAAAAGAAAAGAAAAGAAAAACGCTAAAGTAACAAACTTCTGCCTTTCCTAATACTCTAGAAAGTCCCCGGCAACGGCGCCAAAAACTTGATGCTCTAAAACACAACACCTAACAATGGCCAAGTGTAACCAATGAAAGGGACTGCAGTATAGTGGCACAAGTAATAAATATCGAATCCACGGGTCTCTAGAGTTACTATTACTCAGCTTCAGTTCATTATCTAGCAAACTAGATTAAGGATTGATTAACTAAACTACTCTACTAACTAAACTAAGTAAAACTACTCATTACAGTTTGGGAACTCACTTAGGTATGATTCCCCCTAGCTCCTCAATTAGGTCCAAGTTGTAATTCCTTTTGGTTGATTTACTGTTGATTAAACTGCGGAAGATCCGACAGTAGTTTGGAATCTCTTAAGCTGAACAAGCCCTCTCAGTCTAACTATCCGGCAGACGACTAGTCTTCACCGGGATAGAAAGCTGAAGCAATAAGCATAGAACTCCAATACTGGAATTGGATTCCAGTACAAAGCAGTAAACTGGCTAACTCTCGTATAGCCAATCTCCTACTACCGAATGATGAGACTCTAGCAACCTAATCAGATTCTATCTATCTCAGATTGCAGCAGGAATCAGGAAAAGTTGATCAGACTTCAATCGACTCAATAAACATGCATCATTCGATTATAATCAAACAATATAGCATCCAAAACTTCATACAAGAAAGATCCTAACTCATGGAACTAAGGTTCCTCAAAACCTAAGTGAAGGGAAGTTACTCCATAGAGAAGAGAGAGACTGCAGAAATCTGATCTAGATCTTCAATCTCCATCTCCAAGCTTGATTCCCGAGCTCCAATGGCGAAGAAATCCTCCAAAATAGCTCCAAGAATGTTCCCAAGTCGCTCTCTCTCTCTAGGGTTCGTCCCTTGGGTGTTTGGGATCCAAAATCCAGCTCTCCCCCTTTCCTTTTGCTGAAAATCGGGTTTTAAACAGCAATTCCCGACTCACACGGCTAGGCCACACGGCCGTGTGGCTTTCCCATCTGCCCGTGTGAAGTCTCGGTGATTTCCACACGGCCACATGGCCAGGTCACACGGCCGTGTGGGTTGTGCCCATGTGGCTTGCTCAGCCTCTGTTTAATGCTTCGTTTCTCCCTCGTCCGGACTCTGAATCAGTCGCCGTTTGATCCCAGACGCTCGTAGTCTCGTCCTCTTTCTTTTCATGACAAGCTTGCATGATTCTTTGTCCATAAAGTGAGGTAGAAATCCATTCTTCTTCAGGTCATACCCGAGTTTCTTCTCCCGAATCGTCAATTGATCTCTGATTGACTTGAAACTTGCGCCTATGCTTCACTTTATGTGCTAGGACGTTGAGTTAATCTTTGTTATGCTGTTGTGGCCTTAGAGTAATGAGTTTATTGATCCCTGTCTTCACGCACATGCAAGCCTATCAA